CGCAATCGTGGAAGGACAGAATGATGTGGTCGCGGGAGTCGACGGTGAAAGTGAGCTATGGAGACATACGTCACCCTTCTCGATTCCTTCAAACTAAGTCCATGAACAGAGCCACTAAACAGTGCGACCAGAAGCAAGTTAGTTGGTGCCTGCAAGCTTCCGATGGACTCTTCGTCGCTGGACTTTACAGGCATTGACTACTTGGTCATTGTTCCATCGGATTCGGAGAAACGAGTGCAACGTGCGTTTATCATCATATCGTAAAGTGGTTCAACTGTACGTTCATCAGTGGTCGATTTTGTGTTGATCAGATGTACGAAGCTACATTGGTAAGGTTCCAAGCTCATGGGTTCTTAAAGATTCAGCTAATACTGCGATCAAGATGCGGCAAAGAGAGCAGATGTGAAATTCATTCTCTTGCAATCGGTCCTTGGAGCGCAAAATAAGGAAACAGAGTTCGCGAAGCAGTACCGCCAGATGGAGGTGAGCAAGAAAATCCGTTTAAAGTAGTTTCTGCGTTCTATTTCTACTTGCGCAAAAACATTAGGTGTACTTGATTAACTCAGCAATACGTGCGACATTCTTGAGACCAACGTGGTTAATGGAGAACTTGCTTATCCACGCAGACAGTATTCGGAAGGAAGGTGTAATTAAGCTTCCTCTGCGAGAAGGGAAAATTGTTCCCATTTCTGTCATCGATATTGCCAAGTTTGTGCGAGTCATTTTGGATGCCCCAGAAAAGTTTGTTGGTGGGTTACTGTTACGGCATCTTGTTGTTTCCAACCAATCTCGTCATCATTTCAGACCAAGCATACGATTTACTGGGGCCGAACTCGGTAAGTGGAGTTGAAATTGCTAGCGCGGCTTCAGAATCACTGGGACTTGAAATTCGGTGAGAAATAGTGCACTCGAGGCATGATTGTTTTGCGTTGCTCTAATCTTCACCTGACCCGCCTTGATCAAGATACGTTAACGTATCATCCACGGAATACAAGATATTTCTGAAGAATAAAGGACTCTCTGAATGGCAGATACAAGGAATTTTGGAGGATTTCGGTGAGGAGGTGCTCACCGCTCATTCCGCAATTCGCTTTACACATTTTAGCTCCGACACAGAACTTCTGTCTGCCGATCGGTACTCATCAACAGGAAGCACAGATGTCTTTCGAAGCATGGTGGGCGAGAATGGGTGCTTATCGATCGTGATTGGTATCGACGAGTGGAACCCGTTCATTGACTCCGAGGTTGCAATCTGCGTAGCACGACACTCCGCGATTTCTTTCTCATACACAAAGAAACATTTCTGGGTACATCTGTGTCAGATCCTCATCAAGAAGAAGTCACCGTCAGCTCACCAGATGATCCAGTGATCCCGGGTCTTGTCGATCTCCAGGGACAGGAGAATCAAGACGGTTCCCCGCACATTTCCGCATTGACGGAGGTTCCACAGGCAGCAAGAGATCCCGGCTCTCGAGATTTCAATGCGAGGACGCCAAAGAGTGAAACTTACACCATAAATCCAGTTGCTGCCACTGGAATGTTGTATCCTGCCTCTGATACAGCTGCACCAGCAGCCGAACCAGTTTCTGCTTCACCACGATCCATCTCAGCTACAACCAGAGATCCAAACATCGCAACTATGATTCCTTCGGCAATTCGAACTGAGCAAGCGCGAGAGGGACTCCATGGAGGTTTAGAGGCAGCTCCGTCTGGTGCAGTTCACAACCTTCAGGACTCGACCCACCCGCATTCTCAGCCCTCGGGGCAGCGCATGGGCTCTGTGAAGACAGGGGGGGAAGTCACCATGCTCAAGGATCTACTACATGGCATGATTGTTGAAGAAGAGGGTACTTTGAAAGAGCGTCGTGATACTTTAAGAAAAGCCGAGGAGCGACTGGAGGTGACAGATAATCGTGAAATCTTCATCGTAATCGCTTGATTCAGCGAACCTATCACATTCCCAGTACCTACGAGATGTCCAGTGGCGTATCGAATCGGACCTTGCTTCTCGCGGGGTATTCCGGGATGAGCCGGGTTATCGCAAAGAGACAACGGCATCGAGATCGTTCCCGCGGGAGGATCACATGAGCCGCCGAGAACTTCATGAGAGAGACAGGTTGCGCAGAACAGCAGTGGAGAAAGGGTGAGAAAAGTTTGTGGAGACTTTCAGTTTCCCAATCGTATTCATTCAAATGACTGTGCGCAGCTCTTCGGATGCCTTTTGCGACGAGAATACCGCTTTTTGGACGCGATCTCCCAAAGAAACCCGCGATCTATATCAAAATAATTCAAGTCAACGTATCTTTCGAGATGATTTGACTGCTCAAAACCGGGGCCGGGCGGCAGAGATTCAGCGCGAGAGGGAGTTGAGGGAACGAGAGTATCGAGCAATCGATAGAACTCGCGATAAAAGGTACGGATACAGAAAGAAAACGTGGGCCGAGGGAATGGTCCGTGAGGGGCATGAAGTCAAGAGAGAGGATGCGCTTCTGCAGAGACGGTGGGAACTCCATGGTCGTGGTGAGGATGATCACAAATCAACATCATGATCACTCTTCTCGCGAATATCGGAGTGGGCGATAATGATTGTGCTGAAGTGATTTTTAGCAAGGTGGCAATTCAGTGAATTGTTGCAACAGTCGAATATAAAAGATATCAAACTCAAGAATCGAAGTCTGCACCTGGAACCGACCACGCATTTCGTTCCTCAATGCATGTTACATACGGTGATGCATATGCAAAGCAAAAAATTAAAAAACTCCCCAATGCATGTTTGGCTCCCGCTTGTTCGCGCTTGGGTATTATCCGAGACAAGTATGCTGTGTCGGATCGACTATCTGTTCTGGATAATCAGACGAACTTGTCAGGAGCGCACAGGATTTAAAGTAAGTATGAATGATAGTTCAATATACTGTAGTGAGTTGGTCTTTGCCTCTTTTGGGTTGCTTCTTCAGGCGATGGGGTGATATCTCCGTCATCACAACCGCGACTTCGTCTTACAGCTATCTCACCGGTATATTGCGCTGCAAGATTTCGCGGAGAAATTCTTAAAAGAATTCGAATCACTTGTGCCCTATTAACCATTCCTCCACGTTTCCCAATCCTCGTGTCGACATCCATTTCACCACTAACGGGACCGCCTCCCTCCCTCGTTACTCTTCCACCTGTATACACTCCACATACGAAACGATTGTGTGGGGTGCAAATCATCAGGCGGTGGAGGAAGAAGGGAATTGCAAAGCGAATGGTTCTGGTGGACAATTAATGAAGACAAGCAGTGCGATCAGGAAAAGCTCAAAGAGCAAAGTGTGAAGGTGAGTAGCATGTCAGAACACGTAGGTATTTGCAAGCAAATAGGTGGAAAGTTATATAGGATGTGAGGTTGTGCGGTTCGGGACAGACGAGTCAAACAGGAGGGTTTAACTTCGGATGGGGACATCCATAGTAGTAAGTAAGCGCAAAATGGATGCTCTCAGTATTTTATTGGCTGTTCTTCACCCCAGCAGGATTCTTCTGTCCGAGCCAGACAACACGACCTTCCAGTTCAGTCCCAGCCCCCTCCGCATCTATCACGCGGTTGGTCAATTGGAACAGCTGGGACAAATAGTATGGCGAGTTCACATGTCCTCGCTTGGTGGTCTTTTGTGAGTGCCGAGTGGAGGTCCATGTCCACGTCTCCCTTCCCAGGCACGGAATCCGCACCAGGTAGGGCCACATCACCCCGACACCCTGGTCTTCCCCACCCTGCAAGTTGCCCCGCTTGCCATTTAGAACGACCGCACACTCCTCCTCACACTCTTCTCCCTCGTCGCCCACTGCAGGGATCGTGCAACGGCATGGTTCACGTGGTTTTCCACTATGGTGTGTGACTTCGCTACTGTTCATTTTTGAAACCTTGTGTAACAACCTCGTTCAACAAAATCCCGCCACCAACCAACCTGCTAAATTTAGCACACTTGTGACAGGCAAGCATTTAATGCTTTGCAAGCCCTTCAGATGCAGCTATGAAAATCCGTCTTTTCGCGGAACTGCAGTTCCAATGTTACCCCTGTCGCAGCATCAAAATCTGAAATGTAGAGCATGATTCACAATACATCTCGTTATTAATTATCTGCGTTGTTGTTGCTGAATATCGCCGAAGTTAGTGTTCGGTAACAGAACGCATCACAACCTTGAGACAGCCAGCACTTGAAGAGGATTAGCGGAAATGGCAGCTTTCAAAACGTTCATTGGTGCGTCGGCTGGATGGGATGATCGTGCCTTATTGAAAATCGCCTGGCCTTTCTCATGTTCGTTTGTTACATGAATCCCGCGCCTAACATCTTTGAACAGCCACTGAAGCTATTAGCCACCCAAAAGCGTTTCACAGAAATGTTTTTCGCCAAATTTTTCTTCAATTGCCGTATTCCCTAACAAGAACCAGTTTGGACTTTGTGCGTTCAAACGCCAGGCATCCCTCCTGAGAGTTTGGTGAAGCCTATGTCATTCAATACAAATGGAGTGCCTCGTAATCAAAATTAGAGCGTCTGAACAAAAAAAAATTCGCGCTTCGCGCGAATCAAAATTGTCAGTGCTCCTGCTATATGAGAGCACGGCCCGTGCATTTACATTATTGTGCAACAGAGGTGTCACCGATAAGTTTTTTGCGAGTGCGGGACAGGATCTAAGACAATCCAGCCGTTGTGCAGAACGAGTCCCAGCCTAGGTGCATGATATTTAGAACAGCAAAAGATTGCGGAACGTGGCGGAGTCCGCTCGAGGAACCAACCGCGCACTTTTGCTCCTCAATCCGGCATGTTAGGTATGGTGGTGCACGTGACAAAGGCAAAAGATTGCGGAAGGTAGCGAAGTCCGCTCCGGGAACCAACCGCCTCCATGTTTGGTATGGTGGTGGACGTGACAAATGCAAAAGATGAAGTCCGCTCCAGGAATCAACCACGCATTTTTGCTCCTCAATCCTGGTTAGGTATGGTGGTGGTGCACATGAAAAAGCAAAAGATTGCGGAAGGTGGGGATCGAACCCACGACCTTGAGATTATGAGACTCACGCGCCACCGATTATGCCACTCCCGCTGCTCCTTGTATTTCGATTTGAACCGTATTTTTTTCAACAACTAGGGTATAATTAGTGAACGTTGATCAACGTTCTACTGTTTGCAGACGATACGGCTCTCGTGGCATTCGATCACCAGCTCATGGCGGGGTTGCTGGGAGTATGCCAGACGTGGATTGTGGATGCTGGAATGCGGTTTGCACTGACCAATTGCATCCTCTGTAGTGGGGCTGTCACTACATATCTGTCTCAGCCCTCTATGACGGGATGGTGGCCTAGTGATAGGCCTGGACTGTGAGATGATGTGAAGTGTGATCTTATTATGTGTAGCTAGATGTGCCTTATATACATGTGGAGGCTGTGGTCATGTGCAAGGTGTCAATACCACAACAGTCCACAGAAATTTTTCTCCTCTCAATGCAAAAATTGTCCTCTACACATTCCTCCATCAATTTGATGAAAGTAGAAGGAGGAGTGTAAGCTGATAGTTGTACATTTTTTGTGGAATCACCTTTCAAATATAGTGGAACACTTTCAAGAGGCAACATCTGGGCTCTGCCAAGTTCCCGAGATTCACAGGATCTTGTATGGAATAATCGGCCCTGTAGCACTCCATCTGCAGTATAAGATTTATTGCCCATGATAATGTAGCGATGGCAGCGGGTGCAAACAGCAATGACTTTCTTGCCATCAAAAAATTTGGTGTTCCTCTGAAGATTTGCCTCCCCTGAAGATGCATAGGTTGGGTATGGAATGAAAGTACTGCATTGCACCCACTTGTGTGACCTACTTGTCCTGTTTCCCAACAATGTTGCCTGTGAGACCCTTTCACCATTGCCGTAAGGGTTTGGTACTATTTTTTTGGTAGCTGAGCCATACATAATTCATGATAAAACACATAAACTTCAGAATTTGTCCATGCTGCAGCACTAAACAACTCACCATGTTGACCACCAAGCACTCTACTCCTCAACATAGTGCCACTAATTGGATCAAATTTTAGCTTGTTCCCTGCTAAAAAAGGTGGAAAATAATGACAACAGGCATTGGGGAATCTTATCAATTCTAGGCTAAAACATCAGGACCACTTACAATCTCTTCTAAACTTTGCCCTCTCAGACACAAAGGAGTTGTGTCTTTATCAAGTACAATCTTACCTAAGATCATATTGCAAAAAAAATCCCAAATGAATATTTCAGGAATGGTTAGGAACACCATGACTCACTCGCAGTCTTCAGCTGCTGAAAAAGTGATACTGAGGGAGCATAATCCTCCACAGTAACAACTGCAGTCTCATAGGTGGGTTTTGTAAAAATCATTGGAGCAGTTGGGTAAAGAAACGACTCCATAAACTAGGGCATTGCTGCCATTCCTTGAACATCTAAAATCATTGAAGAGAAAGAGGATGATTGTGAGGCAATCCCAAGCATAACCTCTGTGCCATATGTCCCGTTCATAGCTGCAGACATCCAAAGTGCATGTGCACTGGGAATATTGATGTCTAAACAGCCTCCATGTCAGAAGATTCATTCACATAATGAATTGTGGTAGCGTGTTCATCTTTGGCAATGCGAAGAACTATGTGGGCAATATTTGTGTAAACCTGTACATTTAATTCAGCAGAGCACAACATCAGGTAAACAATGTATAAACATGACACTTACTTGGTCAACATGAAATGGAAGATATGATTCATTTGACGTCATTAGCCCAGCAAAAATATTGGAGATGTATATGTCACTGGTGTGAAGCCAATCTTGAGCTCCTCGTAACAAGAGCCATATATCGTTAGAAGAATGGCCCCACTTGAGGACCTCACCGGCCTGTATGGCATGATTAGTTGCATCAACATTCCCTTTTGCCTAAACCGGTGTTGAAAGCAGTGTCAAGAATAAACTTTGTGAAATCTTCACACTTGGTAATGTCAGGTAATGGAGCTTCTCTAAACCAGAGCCTTTGATGATAGAATCCAATGAGTTGTTACCATAAGTAACAACTACTTTTTTGTAAGCTCCATAAACTCTGCCTT